TTCATAAAAGTTACTCACTATTATGATATAACTATCTATTTCCATTATTGTCTTTGCTTTATCTGTCCTCTGTTCAGTTTCTTCTATGTATGTCTTGCCGGAACACCATTACGAATGTTTTCCCACAACCATCTTATTCCATATAACTTACAACTTTTAACTATATTTATATGAAATTTGTGAAATTTGTTTATCAAATATAACGTTATATTATTAGTTTTTCAATTCTTTTTCATATCTTTTAAAAATAAATTACTATTACAAAAATATCTGACATTTTTCTTTTCAAATTGACATTCAATAATCCCTCTACCTAGAACCCATCCTTTCTACTTCCCAAAGTCTTCACTTATCACTTTCTTATGTAAATTTTTACTGTACAGGGTCATAACATTTTCCCACACAATTTTTATTTACTACTACAAGTTCATCAAATTTCTAGAGGCTTTCGACGGCTAGACAGAGAAAGCACTACTGACAGGCATCCCGACGGATTTACGCAGTGAAAGTACACTCTGCGCATCAAGTATTTCACTATTTCATTCAGACGTAAATGTCAGCTGTAAATTTCGCTAAAACATTTCTTTTATTTTCGTTTGTGTTTTTTGCTCATTACAGTTTAATAGAACCTAAGTATGGAGTTTAATAGCAAATTAAGAGGCCGCGTGATTAACAGTCAATCTCGCGAAATAATAGCCACTGTTATAGAGTTTATGAGAAGAGAAGGAAACTTTAATTCACCTTCAATACCATTTAAAAATGTAAATAATCGTGTTGCTGCAGCCACAGGAGTATCTAAAAACACTATCGTCCGCATTTCTGGAGAGAAAAAAAGAATCGATAACCGTGAGATATCGGAATTTTCATCACCAAGAAAAACCATTAAAAAACCAAAAACAGTTAATGATATAGATGAAGCTGCACAAGAATCAAATTTTATTTTTTTATTATTAGATAGCTATTTTTGTTTCTGAGTTGTGTTCATTTACAGGCTCAATTTTTTTCCGTTTCTCCTTTTTGATTTTATATGGGGTTTCAAGTTGTTTTTGACTTATTTCGACATAAATCACAACAACACACTTTTTTAATAAAGCAAACAAGTGTTAAGAGGTATATGTACGTGTAAACTACAATTACAAAAAATTGATATGAAACCCATGAAACCACCAACAAAAATGTAAAGCTAGCTTCCGTACTAGAACATGGTGTCATTCGTCGAGATAATTTATCGTTTTGTTTAATAGATCAAGAAATGTAAATATTCCCCTGTTATTTTTTATAAAATTATAAGAGAAATAAATTTTTTTCTAAATAGTATAGTTTATTATTTTGTAGAAAAACAAAATTTCGAAAATTTTAGTAATGTTTCAGAAACAACCGTTATTAATAATAGGTACCATTTTCCTTAATAAGGTAGAAATAAAATATAAACTATTTCCACGATTTACAAAGGCCTACAAAAAAATTATAGGTATTTTCCGCTATCCTATAAAATTTATATTTTCTGACTCAATTTCAAAAGGTTGAAGGAATTCCAAAACACCTTTTATGGCATAATAATTATTTTTAATTCTACATACTATCTTTAGCTGCTTTTAAAAACGTTCTAAGAAAGTCCAATCAGACCAATTTAATCCCTAAACTATTCCACACTTTTAAAATTTAATTACCTAAAAATATTAAAAACTATTTAAAATAACTTGTTTAGCAGACTGTACAATAGCTATCTTAGTCACACGTAGCGCGTTCTCTGTCTGGGCGTCGAACACCTCTAGAAATTTGATGAACTGTATTATTATTGCTATTATTATTATGGTTATTATTATTATTAGAACGATTTTTAGTTTTATTATTATATTTTGTTATAGGGTGTTTTTTTTCTTATTAGTTGTTATACGTTGAGGATATACCAATTTCATTGTAATATATGTATATATTTGATTCGTGCCAGGTATGAAAGAATGGTTTTTTATATGAAGTGTTGGGAAGTTATTAGCATATGAGGCAAATGACATCAATTTCGTTTTATTAAAATTAATTGGCATGTGTGTTTAGCTGGAACCACTTACTTATAATTTGGAATTCTCTTTCTGCTACAGTTTTTACTTCATTCCAAGTTTTAGCCGTGTATATAACTACTGAATCATCGGCAAAACTTATAATCTTACCCTTTCCAACCCGTTTATGTATAGAGAAAACAGTAGGGGACCTAATTTCTGAATGTGCTCTTTGTGTTCTCCAACTGAACACACTAAAGTCGGTTTTCTAAATATGATTTAATCAATTCAAATATTTTTCCTCTGAGACCATATTCATTAAGCCTATTCAACAAAGTTTTGAGACATACAGTATCAAATGCCTTGGGCAAGTCGATAAATATACAGAGCGTGGCTTTTGTTTCATCCATCGCATTGTTTACACTGCTTGTCAAATCGCACATTGCGTGCTCTGTAGATTTACCGGGTTAGATATTGGGTCCTATGATGGAACGTTTACGTTATCCGTAACGTACATGTTAGGCTCAGTTTTAACAGTATTTAGGTAAGTTCGTATGATGAAAAACGGTTTCCAACACATTACTGTTATTTTCCGCCTGTTATGTTCTAATTTAACAGTTTTCCATCATACAAACTTGCTTCGTTACTGTTAAAATTCGACCTAACATGTACGTTATGGATAACATAAACGTTCAATCATAGGACCCATTATATAATATTAAAATAAATGAATTTCGTCCACGTGCTATTTTAGATGGATGCGATCAATTTAAGTGTATTTCTTAAAAATTGACATGTGACACATCGCTTAAAAGATAATTTAGAATGTAATAATTAAGAGTGATTTACAAAAAAATGTTTCTAAAGTAGGTCATAACCGACAAGGACGGAGATACGAGTTAAATCCGTGATGATTACAGCGGCTCTAAATTAAATCCGAACTTGCATATAAAAGTTAGTAGAATCGTTCTCTCGATATACGTGAATTTTAATACTTAGTTGTGTAAAAATCTAAGACGACCGCTACAAGAAAAAAAATTTGGATTTTTTTGTTCTATATAAATATACGTCAACGCATAAAAATAATATTTACGTTGAAGTCCAAAGTATTAGTTAAAATTTACGTGTCATGACAGATAATGACAATTGATATTAGGATTTCTTCTTTCCCAATTAAATAGAGGTAATTTTATTTGCATTACGTGCATACGCCAGAGCCCGTAAGCTTACGTACGTACGTAGACGTTAACGTGAAGGATATTTGAATAGGCATGCGCAGATGTCAGTTTTTACGTATACGTTTACGTTCATAGCATGACTTCAACTCTCTAATATGACATACTGGGTAACTTAGATCCTAGAAGAATTTTTAGTAATAAATTAACAGTAAATCTAACTCCGCCCTATAGGTAGTTAACAATAACAGATTTGATTGTTTTTACATCGTCTAACAATTTTTAATATACTTAGTGTCTCAGTTTTTTCAAATGAAATTACCTTTTATTTTATACCACCAATTAGTTTCTTTTACTTTTTATCTATAGACTACGCTGTTTATTTAAGAATAATTTAAAAATATGGTCTTCAATAGTATATTTAAAAATCTTCTCCAATTATTATAAAACAGCTATAGATCAATTAAGCAATGATGGGACACCCTGTATGTGTATAACAGGCTAACATGCTGATATTGTTGGATAAATTTATAATAAATTTAATACTAAAATAATTTGAACTTAAAATGGGCCATATTAACGACGTTTCAAAACACTCTGTATAAAATGAACAATTTTTATCATCATTATTTGTTAGTTTGTTACCTTATTATTCTATAATTTAAACAATTTTGCAATCATTGCTAATTATTAGGTTTATTCCAACAATCTCTAATTTACAAAAATAATAATTGCTTAGCAACACTGTAATATTAAAAAAAGGTTAAGATTGAATACTGTATAACAAGATCTTTCTACAACTAAGATATTTTTTTTTTATTTGCGGGAAAACTGTATATCCAAAAAACATTTGTTTCTACGATCATTATCCAAAGTAGGCTTTTACACGTTATTTTTGACATTATTGGCGTTTGCAATAAATAAAAGAAGGTAATCAATATTAAAGCTAATCGGTATTTGAAAACAAAATGTAAACTAGAATATTTTAGTTGAATAACTAATATTCAAACCCATTTATTTCAATCTGCACGTAAGTAGGCAACACAACATACACAATGCACGCTTCGCTAGCTAGGCTAAAGTAAAATTTGAATTTGGTAATAACGTGGCATCGTAGAAAAAAATTCGTGTGTAATTCGAGCGGAAGCTATTTGACGCATATGAGCAGAGATAACAGATAAAAATATAATATTCACGATGCCAAGATTAATTCGAGAATCGATACACTCTATTTGTAGGGACTCGGCGAGGAGACGAAAGGTGAGAAGTAAAAGAAGGGATAAAGAGAAGAATTTTACGCAGATACAACTTATTTTTATCGATGAATAAATTTATATATAATAAACAACGTAAATATCCATGCCGGCGTAAGCCCTGTTGCCACTTCCAACCTAACATAACTAGGTTTTGGAATTCATTGAAAATTATTACATCTAATTTAGTGAAATTACATCTAACTTAGTTAAATTTAATATAACTAATGATTCAAAATTTTTTGGGATCAGTTGCAATAAAATAGGTTGAATTATTTTAGCTTTTTTAATATATGTAAATAATTTTGTAAACAAAACGAGAATAATGAAATCGGCATATGACAACAGCGGATATTATACCCTCCTGTATCCCTTAGAATATGTCTTATTCAGGACCGCACGATATTTGTTAGTAGTTACATCTCCTCGTTATCTCTGCTTACAATAAATAACCGCACTCTGCTGGCACCTCGCGCGGCAACTTTTTATATCAAGCGGCAAAGTATCACTTTCCGCTATAAATACACAAATAACTTTTAAAGTGTGCTTTTTTCAAATCTTTTATTTGAACTTACCTAAATCATTTATTTTAGGAATTTTTTTTCCGGGAACCCATATATTAAGATCGGGCATGTTTGCTTTTGTGATTTTGATGATTTTATTTTCTTCCTCACTGATTATGTTCAACTCATCTGGAGTATCAAAATACACTTGGTCAATTGATTCTTTATTATCATCTGTAAACGTCAATACGTCATTGGTACGTACAAGAAAAGGAATGTTTGGATTCACATTCATTTTATCAATATAGGTTAAACCCTGAAATAATTAAAAAAAAATTGCGTAAAGAAATTTTTCAAATTTGAGTGTATTGACCACAGAGCATTAAGTTTTAGTATTGACAGTTCTTATAAAAATAATAATGAGTACATTAATTTAATTTTTTTCAATTTAATCATACATGTTTATAGTTATTTCAATCCAGTTTAAATATTATATTAATAAAAATTATTGTGAAATCTTATTACCTGTTGACGAAAATTATTTAAGTTCCTAACGATCCAGCTAAGTTGGCTATGGATGACTGACACTTCTTTATTTAATTTGACATTTTAACTTTAAAACTCAAGAACAATATTAATATTTAAAAATAATATAAATTAGTTGCTTTATTTTTTTGGTTTAATCATGCATCAAAACTCATTTAAATTCAGCAAATACCTATTAGTGAATATAATATTAAATTAAATAATAATAAAAGTTTCAAAAATTGTAATTAAATATTTCTAACAATCTTGCTAAGTTGGCTGTGATTAACTGACATTTAGTACGTGTGAGATATTTCTTAAATTTCTTTATTCTATTCGACATTTAAACTGAAATAAGGTAAGTAAAGATTTATTGTCCCAAAAATCAGCCAACATTTATGAGTCGAAATATAATTTCTTCATGGAATGGTGTAAAAGAAAAAAAATTACCAAATATTCTGAGAATGTCCTGGTGGCATATTTTTCAAGTGAATTAAAACACTATAATCCATCCACAACATGTTCGATATTTTCTACGTTAAAAACAACTTTAAAAATCAAAAATAATATAGACATATCAAAATAGTATTTTATTGCAGGTTTTTTCTCTTCGGATTTCCGTCCCATAGGATATTTATTTTAAAACCGCAAATAGCGTTTTTATTTAAATATCTTTAAAAAGTATACCCTGGCCAATGTTTACATTTCTAACCTAATTGTTTAATATAGCAAGTGCAAGAATTCAGAAGATCTATATTAGGCATTCCAAACAAATGAATTGCCAGTGGGAAGGTTTGGTATATCTAAGGGTGGCGACATACGGTGTATTCTATCTACTTTATGTAAAATCATGAATAATGGATAAAATTTAAATATTTTATGTCAAACACGATAAAAATAATATTTGAACAACCCACCTATTCATTTCTTTATAAATTGGCAGGCTTGGCGACTACTACTTCGAATAAAAATAGCGTCCAAGTTGCAAGATTATGTCGCTACCCCCTAGATATACAAGAATTTCCCACTGGCACCTATTGTTTGACAGGTCGTTGGAATGCCTAATTGAGTGAATCATATTACCATCACGTCGGATATCCGTCACACTGACATTAAAACGTGACGGAGATATAACGAATGGGACGGAAATATTAATTTATTTAAACAGTTTAATTTTAAAAAATTAGAATGATATTGTCATATTTATTGTTTATCTGCTCAAAATGAATTTTAAACAGTGATCGAAAGTAAAAGAGATTTTCTTTCATTTAATATGGAGGAAAACCATGGTATAAAAAATAAAAGGTATGATATCAACAGTGACATGCGTCACGCGTAAAGTTTGTATAGGCGCGAATTTAAAAATACTGACGAAGTGTGAGGAAAATATATGCTACTTACAGAAATTTAATGAATATTATGGATAATATTTTAGAAATTACATGAAATATCTATGGATATTATTATGGGATAGTTAAGGAAAGAACTATGAAGGAACATAAATGCAAATGCATTCATAAGAGAAATATTTTTATGAACAGTTTTTTCTTAATGATTTATACAAATTCGACTTCTAAAGAATAGTTTTTATAACCAAGATAATGTAATAAAGGGTATCTTCGCAACTCGAAACTAAGGATCCTGGTAACAATTTCGCATCTGGGTATGCCGGAAATTTTTACCTCATTAGGATTTGCAACTGGTTACTCATTTATCTGCATTATATTAACCAATTTAATAAAAATAATATAATGCAAAACATAAAAAAATGTACCAAATACAAATAACTGCTACATAAAATATGGTGGGTGCATATACAAAATTAAAATAAAATGTCGTTGCATTTTTCCTGGTCCTAGTCGCTGACAGTTTTTTAATTCATTCATCAAGTACAAGTCGAAATTTTCTATTTTTTTGTGACATTTACAATTTCACTTTTGCTTATATTGCAAAATTTTTAGCCTTCAAAGGGTAGATTCTCCAGTTTTATAAGTCCCAAGTTGTGAATGAACCAATGTGATTCACACTGGTTCATTCACAACTTCACAATATGTGAAGTTCTGATTAGAGGTCTCTCTTAAAACTGGAAGGTTTAATGTGCTTGGAATACATATGAAAATTTATCTACAGGGTCACAAACCACTGCAAGGGCTGCTCCATGTCGAATTTTCTTGGGAAGGAGGGTAGCATTGCCTATTTAGCTTTTTTTTTTAATTAGAGGGTCATGGATTTTAAGAATTTTAATCTAGGGAACGGCTTGCTCCCCTGGGCCTTTGCTGGAGCCGCCCTTGGGCCACTCCTCACTTGTGACTAAGCTCTTACTGTCGAGAAAAGCGAAAAACCATAATATCTTTCTTGAATCATTTCCTTTAATTGTTACTGTTACATCCGTACCGCAATTTTTCAATGTTTTTCACTAAAACCACTCACAGAGAACAAAGTTTACAACATAATATAATACAAATATCTGCTTAATATCTTATAAATCACTATAAATGACTCGCAAACTAGTGCAACATGCGTCTGTCATATAATATTTATTTCGCGCCAACTATACTAACTCTACGCATGACGTCAACGCCGCCATGACACCATGCGCGATATCCCCCCCTGGAGGAAAACTCTTCGGTATGCGTTTCCCTGAAAATTAGTTCAGATGATGTAACGCTAACAATTAGCCCAAAGAATGATAACGACAGCGACAAAATAGCTTTATTAAAGAAAATGTTAAAAGACATGAAGGAGAGTGCGTTAGAACAACAAGTAAAAGAACAAAAATACCTTCAAAATTAAGTTAGCACTAACAAAGCAATATCCAAGTTAAAATCAGATAACTAAGCGAAAGCCAAATTAAAAGATTTTGAAGAAATATTGCCATCGACATCTAAAACTTCAGAATCTAATTTTGAAATTTTAAAAAGTTAGTGTATTTTCTTGCGTATTTTTCTTTACTTTTCATATTTCCGACACATTATCATATCTCCGTCACTCTTTCATATTTCCGTCACCTCATGTTTTAGTGAAATTGTAATTCTACTAAGGTACCTGGAGTTATTTTTCAATTTAACGTACTATTTTAGAGTTAACTGTGTTATGCAATTTCTATAAGCTACTTTAGATATTTTTACTAAAAAAAGAAAAATTCCATTTTTTTATCTTTTTTTTAATAAATTTTTTCTCACTACATCTATTTAGATTGTAGTAGCACATTTTGTTGATGTATTTTTAAAAGATGATGGTACTTACTTTAGAAAAACGTTACAACAATAATTTAAACGTTATCTAATTTTTTTTGTAGTCTTGTATGTGTGACGGAAATCTTAAAATATAAGACATACATAGAGAAATTTCTACAGAAAAAAAAAAGTATATGAATATTTTCAATAACCAAGGCTCAAACCAAGTATTTCAAGCATGTAACAATATAAAAATGATGATATTAAACTGATAACTTAAGGTGAAATTTTCAAAATCACTTATAGTGCAAATTAAAAAGTTATTGAAAAGGACCCTTATGTATTCGGTTGCCGCTCTTTGGGTAGAGGTGCTTGATTTTAAATTCTGTTGGTTAGACATAGCGTCAGTTAAGTTGTCTTTGAAATTGAAAGTTTTAAAATGCGCTAGTTCAGTGTGATGTCATTTTGGTTCCACTGACATTAATTCTAACCAAACTTTTAACAAAAACATCAACAAATTTGACATATACGTTTTTACTATTTTTATTTTATTTCAAAATATTGTTTACAGGTCATAAAAAATAGTTTAAAGGTATGTAATTGGCAACTAAACGATTGTATATTTGATACATGCTATCTACTTACTTTAGGAATATATTTATAAAAGTGAAAAAAACGATATATTTTAGGTAAACGAAATGAACAAAACGCACTCAAAAAATCTACTGTCACTTTGATTGTCAGTGGAACATAACTACATCATCACTGAACTAGCGCATATTTTTTTTACATACTACGTAATAGGTGTAAGTGAAAAATATTATGTTAAAAGGGAGATAAAATAAATAAACATTTATTTCTCGTATAAGTAGAGGGAAATATTTAGGCATACCTTGAGTCCTTGGAAAAATACTTTAGTTACGTCCTTCACTTTGACATACCAATGTTGCCCGAATTGAAATTCAAAAGTAATAGATGGGCTGGGATTTACAATTATTAACTTAGTTTCTAGTTCTGATGATTTTAAAATCAAGCTAAAAAATTAATAATAATAAAAATATTAATATTAAGAATAATTTCTCCAAAATTAGCCCCATCCTGAAGATAGAGCTTAAGGAAAAATTCACATGGTCAGACGTTGAATTCGAACCACTGTTGTCGTATCCTCTGAATGCCAGTTAATTGAATATCTGCTGCTTGATGGGCTGTAGGAACTGTAGAAACCTGTGTAAAACACTTATTGTGCAACATACTTATTTCAAAAAGATAGTTTTGAAAAGAAAATAATAAAACTGAAATTAATGTTTATATATATCAGTATATATCAGTAAAGGCTTCTAGGTCAAAAACCTAAAGTGATATTAGAGGAAAGAAAAGAAGAAGTTGTAAAAAAAAAAGATTCAATACTCATATGAGTAAAGAACTGGAAGAACAGAGCAAAAAATAGTCGTGGGACATTAGTAAATTAGTAAATTATTAGAAAAATATAACATTGGTAGTGGGACACATCTTAGGTTAATATATATTTCTACTTCTATTTCTATTTTTCTGTCTATAGATATCTCTTAAAATAAATCTCCATTAGATGTAGACGTATTTTTTTTGGAAATATATTTTTATGATTTAAACTTTAAACATTCCGCCACATTTGTAAATGTCCACCCTACGTGACGTTCTTTTACTATACGGAGAATGGTCGCACTGCGAAGCTTTCTGAGTGCCTTTTAAAAGGAGATAGAAAACTCCGCCATTTTGATCCCTTATTACGTGTTGCCTACATCTTGGTGCAATATTTTTAATAGGTGCGTTTTAATCATCCGCTTCTGCTTCGGAATTGTCGGTTTTCTTGTTTTAATCTGACAGGTTAAAACGACTAAACCGACAATTTCGGAAGCAGAAGCGGATGATTAAAACGCACCTGATATTTTGCTTGCAATACTCAGTGTCAGTGAATAGTATTTTTGGAGTCACAGTTTATTGCTAAAGAATGAGTTAGCTCACTCGGACCAGTTGAAAGTTTCAAAATAACATCCACTCCAGGGATACAAATTCAGGATACGCAAAAGACTGCTGTTTTATTATAGGCGGTTGTCATATATTGTATTATCCGAGTTGCGCAGTATATAAACTGGAACATTGAGATCAAAAGTGCCGACGCAGAGTGAGCGATCTAATTCTTTAGCTATAAACTATGGCATAGGAATCAAAATGGCCGCGCCCTATGTTGGGCGTGTCAGACGTCTCTCTTGCACCGTATAGTAATCAAAGTATGTGCGTTCAGCACTCATATCGCCCCGTGTATTAGCACATCATCTTTTTCATATATTATAAGCTTTACCCAGGCATCTGGAATTAATTATTTTACATGCTGTACACAGTTGGCTGGGTGTTCTGTCTATCTATCCATCTGACGTAGGGTGTGGTTCGAATCCCACTTGTACTGAAGCTCTAGACTCTAGGAATTGCAAACGGTCTTAAATTCGTTCCTGATAAGGTTTAGCAGTTGATTTTGTCTGCTCTTGGACCTGAATATTCTGAATCCAAGAAATTCCAACTAGAGCTTATTTATTTAGCTGTTCCATGAGCACCTATATTGATATAAAATACCACACTAGAGCTCTGGTCCAATTAGAGTTGTTATTCAGCTACCTTCCTAATTAGGAAGTCTGCTTCCCAACACTCCCTCATGTCCCGGCACTCACTCAAGAGTGACCTTGTTATGTACTGGCAAGGCATTTAAGGGGCTGTTGAAAGTCCAATATTAATTTGGATTGTCTTCTAACCTGTTCAGTGCATTTGTCATATCAAAGACCCTTTTATCTTTTAGTGGGTTGCATTAAAGAAGATTACATTTAAAACCCAGGATAATATATTTTATCCATGGATATTTATTATCTTTAGATTTTGTTATCTAAGCTAATGTCATATTTGGATTGTGTTATTTAAAGAATAATAGCTTCGTTCGGCTGAAGAATCCTGAACCAAATTATAATAATTAAGTAGTTAAAAAGCGTTCGCGGAACAAAAAGAACTGAAATATTGGTTCTATTCTGCGTTCGCGGTAAAATTATTATTAGTTTTCAATCGCTTATGTTATACCCAATGACATATATAGTTTAAATAGACTGCTTATCCATACGTAAATAAAACGATGAAAAGTGGGTCGAACTGAGAGATGTTTTCTCTTTGTCTAGTGCATGCAATGTTTGTGTTTTGTCTCAATTTTGAGTGTTCACTGGTAAACAAACCTTTCACAGGACCGGTTTTAAAGAAAGTTTAGTCTAGTTGAGATTTTGTTCTCATTGTCATTACTCAGTCGGACATTTTGTTGAATTGTTTATTTTATTTAGTTTTAATTATACTTATGTTCTGTTTTAAGTTTTTTAATTATTTGAGTATAAAAACTTGTTTTGTTTTTAAATTTAAATGGTGAATTGCTCTATAAAGGTTTGTAAGACCAGCTACAGAAATATAAAAAGTAACATTTCATTTTTCACGCAAGTATCAATACAAGTAGGTACAAGGTAAATACGTTTATAATAATTTTACGAATTATAATTAATTATAATAATAATATTAATAATAATAAAGTATTTATTGTAAATACAATTACATAAATATTATTATATTCAAAGGCCCGAGTTAGAGCTATCTGGGCTTTACAAGTACATTTTAAAAGTTAGTTAGATACAGATAAGTATCATATAATAAAAACTCAATATAAATAGAAGAAAAACGGACATAAGTACCAATACAGAGAGACAAACTCTTTTATTCTTTGATAGGTTCTTTCTATGTAAATTCTAGCTCTGGCAATTTTGGCATTAAGTAAAGCCTCTTGATGGCTGAACTGATTTTTTTTATTGAGAAAAGGAGGCTGTATAATTTGTATACCTTCAGCTTCTGTTATGTTTCCAATAAGAAAACCTTTGTTAAACATTTTACTATCGAGAAATGATTCACACACTTCAAGTATTGAGCTTTGTTAAAAAATGTCTATTTCTGAAGTTTACCACCATATGCTTCATTTTTGTAAGTAATGAGACCAGTAGGTGACACTCCAGTCAATATTTTAATAGTATGCCTCTTTTTGTAGTAATTTTTTAGCCTACAACAAAGACATTTGGCTTGCTGTATTGGGATTTCGGTACAATCAAGTAGTAGTACTCTTACTTACATAGAGGCCATTATTTAATATTTCTTGTTTTGAAGGCCGAATTATACCATACTAAGAACTTCTACCAGTTTCATTAAAAACTGTTAAAAAATTTAACGATAAAAAGTTTCATTCACTCCAAATAAAATGAATAAGACATTATATCTTGCATATCAGTTTTCAACTTCATAAAAGTAAATATAACTTGATCCTTTACAGACATAACTGATCTTCTTTTTCCTATTCTTTAGAAACAAATCTGCTACTAATTCCACAATGGTAGCTAATAACTGGAAGGATTGCAATCCTATTAAAGTAGATAGTTCTTTAGCACTAACAATTCTGTTTGAAAACGGATCAACTAAATCACCACTCTTCACTTGTGTTGAACAATCGATCCCAATTTTCTGCTTTTAAACAAAGTTTTGTAAATTAAGCAAAGCTATTCAGCAGCACACAAATCTTCATTATCTGCTTCAGTAGTAGATATATGTTCATTAACTGCAAAAACACATTAAACATAATAATAATAATTAACCAAACATTTTAAATTATGCATACGTACATCCATTGCCTGAAGAAGATAACTCAACATTTAACATTCTACTAGTACTGGCAACATATCATTATTAAAGACAGTAGCCATAATTCTTGTTTTAGCTGGATTACTTTTCTTTTTATTAATAGTCGCTTTCTTTTTACCACTAATCTGAGCTAACTTACATCGACTAAGCTTAGTTGTACGTTCTTTTTGTGATTGTAAGTCAGAGTCTTTATTTCCCTCTTACCGATGCTAAGGTACACGGATCTTGACGTCAACTAAGATTGCACTTTATACCTAGTCCATTTTATTATGATGTTGATCAGATTTCCACTGGTGGAATTTTATTATTATTCATCAAATCATTCACATTCACCGCCAAAATAATCCTTAATTGTCTAAAGGGACAAACTTTAGAATGTGAAAAAGCTACTAACTTTAAATCTTTAAAAAGTTAATTCAATTTTTGCATAATATCTGCTTTTATAATGCGAAATAAATTTTAAAAGAATAATCAGGTGTCCGAATAGTGCCACTATACAGTAGTCATGGTCTAAAGTTAGTTATATACACATGAGTGTAAAATTGTTTATATCTATGTTCAAAATTGGTTAGATCTCTTAAAATGTTTTGAAAATTGGGAAACTAGACGTTACGACTCAAAATCCTTTTTTAAAATACCTAACGCAAGTCCTGTCTTGAAATAAACATACAGATATTTTTTTTTTTTTTAATTCAATTCCTACTTTGATGAAATATGTGTTTTAAACTCATTTGGGCCAGACCGATTCTGCCTGGTGAGCACTCGGCAAGCCAAGCAATATGACCCGCTTTTCGTCGTCTTGTTTATATATGGATGAGCAGTCTATTAATCTATATATGTCATTGGTTATACCTGAAACACCGAATGAAAACATGAATTAGTAATTCTGAATCAGTTCAGGATTGTTACCGCGAACGAAGCTTGTATTGACATGTGTATATATAAGTTTGAAGTTTCGACTTCTAATTGTATTGGTAATATTTAGTAACTTTATCTTGTCCAATTCAGTGTTCAGTAAAGTTTTTGCACTTTTCACGCTTGCTTACATTTATTTTCCTAAGTTTCTGAAGTTGACATCAATCCAAAATACATTATAACTACTTTGATGGATCAAAGAATTAAAATGTGATTCGTTCACAAAATCAAAGGATTTCCCAATCTGGAGAATAAATATCCATAGATAAAATATATTATCGTGGATTTAAAATGAAATATTTTCTTATGCAGCCACTATAAAAGAGTCGTTTAGCAAAACCTGGAATCAGGCATTTATTGCTGTTCCTTCAGCCTGAAAGGCTATTACTGGTGACCCCAGGTTTAGAAAAATGGTCCACCTTGGATTCCCATGGTAAATCTCACTTCCTGTGTTGTTTTGCGTCATCGAACCGTCTGAATACCAAATTGATTCGTTTTGTATTTCCTTATTTCACTGGGTTTTTCAACTTTACTTTGATATGACCTGTTGTAAATTAAAAGACCAAAGCAAAACAGTGTATTTAGAGATTTTTGAAAAAGTAACTAAACAAAATAATCATACTAATAAAATTACTAATGATATTGAGGTAAAAACTGATTTAAATAAGGTCAAAGCTAAATATTCCTTAAAAAAACTTCTCTAATACCTACTGTTTGTAATGTACTTTAAATACCTGTAGTGCATTTCGAAGTCATAATTCCAAGAAGATTTAGTAAAGCAATTTGAAGTCAAAAACAAAGTCAAATGCACGTCCCCATTTTTATCTGTTATTGGTCCGCTTTGCAAACTCCACATTAAATCCCTAGCAAAACCGTGATTTCTACCATATATCCATGATTCGTAATGAGGAAAAATCAAACTAATACCTCCTCTGTATTTACTATAATCATCTAATTTCGAAATACGGCTCAAGAATATCTGTTCTGCGCCTTCGATCATCCAGGAAGTCACCGCGGCACCTTTGAGGATTATAGTGCAAGTGGTATAATTCCCTCTATCCATTCTTATTACTCTAGGATCATCGTTTCGTATGGGATGATGGGTTTGCATAGTTTAATCAACAAAAATGTAAAAAAACATGTACCTACAAAAAAAATTATGTCTTGGAACATTATTATATTTGTCTATTTTGACATAATAGGACAGGAGTGCTTTCTGTCATTTGGGATAATCGCGAGCAGTACTAGAGCTGCTCCTGACAACTGAACCAGTATTGCCAGAGATTAGGGACTATCTCTAGTCTTCATATTAGGGACATAAAGATAGGAAACGCAACGACCGCAGCAACGATGGCATCATCTATGCCTCTCAGATGTTAACTAAAGGTAGACGTCGTTTGTAGACAGACCAGTGTTGCCAAATATTTACTTGAGAGATCGTACAAGTAGAGCAGAAATATTGTATTTCGACAAAAAAATCGTACAATAGGTACATGTATAGCATAATATAACTTAATTGGAATGAAAAAAATAAAAAAAAAACTTTGGCATGATAATTTATTTATCTATCTACAAAAATGTTTACAACAAAAAAAAAGAAAATACATGAACTTAAATTATCTCATTTAAAGTAATCAATGACTGTCACTTGAAAGCACATACTTTGATTACTATACGGTGCAAAAGAGAGGTACGACACGCCCAACATAGGGCGCGGCAATTTTGATTCCTATGCCACAGTTTATAGCTAAAGAATCAGATCGCTCACTCTGCGTCGGCATTTTTGATCTCAATGTTCCAGTTTATACACTGCGCAACTCGGATAATACAATATATGACAACCGCCTATAATAAAACAGCAGTCTTTTGCGTATCCTGAATTTGTATCCATGGAGTGGATGTTATTTTGGAACTTTTAACTGGTCCTAGTGAGCTAACTGATTCTTTAGCAATAAACTGTGACACCAAAAATAATATTCACTGACACTGAGTATTGCAAGCAAAATATCAGGTGCGTTTTAATCATCAGATGTTAACTGCGTTAAAGCTGGTGGTTTTTAAACATTGACTTCTCTGAGTATGCCAGAATGAAGAAAGAATTTGTAATAAATATAATTTGTCTGATGCATAATGGCGGTTTTCCATCAAACGGACAAAACAAAAACAAAACAGAAACTCGTGTCGCAAAAAACAAAACTGCAACTTTTCGCAAACTTTTTGAAGACTGGCGTGTTTTGCGACAGTTGGAGTTTTGTTACTCGAGTCCCGCTCTGAAGCGGTAACATCAAAAGGTTTAGACGTGTTTAGGAACTCGAGTCTGTTTACTAACGGTCGTGTTGTGCTGTTGTGTAATCTAAATTTTAGAGCAAATTGGTATAGGTAAGTGAATAGGTTTATAGATAAATATTAAGACATTGGTTTGTTTTAAAATAGTCAATAGTAAAGTATAGAAATTTAACTTTAGGCGTGGCCGGTTTCTTAAACGGTAGATATGTGTTCGATAGCCTTAACAAAGGACAACTAAAGAAAAATGGTTTCTGAAACGTTCAACAAGAGTTATCCGTTCAATAAGTTATCGAATAGATTTCTAAAAAATAATATTTTAATCATTAATAAATTACAGTTACTAAAAAATATATACAGTTAGTGTTTACTTGGCCATTTTATAGAATAGATAGATAGTAAACACTTTATATTATAACTATATATACAATATACACTTACTTTTTTTTTCAAAAATCTTAGTATAAACCATCCACAACTAAGAATAAAAAAATCTTCTCTAAACATATTGGTTGGTTATTAAAAAAAATTAATGTATTCTGTCTTTCTCGTGACAACCAGTGAAAAAGGATCGAAAACAAAAACAAAACTGGAACAAAATGTAGTCCGCTTGATGGATGGGTGGGTTTGTTTCAGTTTTGTTTTTGTTTTTCAAGTTCCAGAAAACACAAACAAAACATAAACTCAACTGTCCGTTTAGTGGAAAACCGTCATTATAAATAAAACAAAAACAAGACCCTTTGAAATTTAAATGACGGGTTCTACTAATTTGCCACTACAATGTCGGTAGTCTGAATAAAAGAAGAGTGCAGTAAAAGTGGGAATATAACGTCACATTCCATAGGCGTACTTTCCAAAATGAGTTTCTATAAAATAAATAAGGCCACGGCATAAAAAATGGCAAATATGCACTTCGTAGATTAAATTTTGAATGAAAAAAGTTATATTATTTAGGTACAAAAAATAAAAGTAAACCTTATGCTTCAGATAAAATTTTTGCACATTGAACGAATAAAATTTAACCAATAAATAACAAAAAATATTATATGTTGTTAATGGGATTAAAGTTGGCATTAAAAATAACACTTCAGTACCTAAAATCAAAGATTAAAAAAAGTAATAAAGTCAAGAACTATCTTTAAAAGTCGTCGTTTTCACTATAACTTCTTGTATCATTATCATTGTCTCTTTTGAGGTTTATTATTATAGGGCCTATTAAGTTTTTCATTGCTTTATTCACTTTCCAAAATTAATTTTCCACCTTCTTAACATGATCAATGTATTTTCTCCAATGTTCTCCATTCACATTTAAACTGCCCTCAAAAACAAATTTCGCACATTAGGTAATTTAAATGTTGTATTGTTTCGAGAAACATAACCTTTTAATTGCGACGAGATCAATTCAATGGGATTTGACTATGCATAGTAAGGAGGAATCTGAGAATTTCAATTCGTTTTTCTCGGTCCATCTCGTCTATAATTATCTTTTTAAATTTGTTTTTATGTTGCCTTGCTACTGACTATATTTTCAAAATGAAGCCATTTTGAAATATTTTCTTTTTTCCACCTTGATGTTATGAAACCCATTTTCAAACATAGGAGCATATCCATTTCTTCATGGTAGTCTTTTGTTTTCTCTGACTAGAACCATCTGGCAAAAATCCATCGGTGCTTCCAATGTGGGTTATTATTAAACGATTTCCTTGTCCTGTTGGATTTTTACGAATCTAAAAAAAATTATATTAAATTTACCTAGATTTTCATCATATATACTCGCAGTTATTAAACATTTTGTGGTCATAATATGTATTTATTAGGGTCTATTTATACTCCCTTATTATTAGTATTTGCATTAGTATTATGATTAAGGATTAAGTTGAACCTTCACAATGTAATGGGGATATTTATACTCGATTTATGATTAGTATTAGCATTAATGCTTTTAGAGAGTTATTGCAAGTTCACTTAAGGTCAGTCACTATTAGTGCCGCTCTTATTTTGACATCTGAGCATGCGCAGATCACAAACTTTAATAAAGATTGTGCCTGTCCTTAATAGAGAGATATTGCAAATTTCTATAAAGCCAGCCACTAAACTTTAAATTATAGTTCATGTTTTTTGTTGTCTATAATATTAAAGAGGCATTAGAAATTATAATTTTAGAAGGTTTAAATGACGATTATATTAAATATTTAATATTAAAAAACTTCTAACGGCGAGCGCATCCGAAAACTATAAAGTCGCCACTACCTGCTGCCCTTAAACATCCACAATTAAGGACAGGCACAATCCTTAATAAAGTCAGTTTTAGAACGTAAACATCTGCGCATGCTCAGATGTCAAAATAAGAGCGGCACTAATAAATTTCTTCTTTTCTATCAAATGAATCAATGAAGTATGTGGCCTTTGTTTTTAATAGATAACGGATAATGACAATTGACAATACACATATGATTATGTTGTCAAATGTTGTTTATAGGTTTGTTCCAACAAGCTCGAAAACGATAATATTTCGGTACAAATCATGCGCTGTAAACAATATTTGTGCATAGATGTTAACCGAGTATAAATTAGACAAATGACATGTCACCACGAGGAAGCAAAGGTCTCTTTTCTGTCTGATTTGTCTCAAACGTCTTCTTCTTTTTATCTGTTATAAATTTGAGACGTAAATCCGTAAAAATGTCCTTAATTAAACCTATTTTTGAATAATAATGTTTCTAAAAAAAATTAACTAGTAAAAATATTAATAAAAACACGCTTAAAAGTCATATATTATCTTTGATTAATAATCAGTTTTACTTTATAAATAGGAGTAGAACCTTATTATTGTTGTTATTTGTCTCTAGGTATTCGTTATTTTGAACTAGTTAGTTATTTGAGTTAGTTATTCGAAGTAGCTTTAGTTCAGATATCCATTTAAGTGTATTTTATACTTAATAAAATTTTTAAAAATAAAAATTCCATTTTGGAATTTATAACTCTGGGCTCTTACACATTTCTTCAGTCACAAATACAAATACATACATACACACATACAAATACTAATGGAGTATAAATAGACCCTTAGTTTTCCTTTTTAATTTAATGGTCTAAACTCCGTCAGAAATTAAAATAAAATACTTTCTGAATGAAATACACGTGTGTACCAAGCATCGCTTCTAATAATTGATGTGATTGTAAACAAATTACTTAAAATATTTTACATTATTAGAGTACTCATTGGCGTAGAAAAGGATTATAAAATAAAAATTATTAATTTATCTACTACCTTTAATCGAATATATTGATATAATATTAAATTAATGATACTGTAGGTAATATTATACCATTTTGAATTGTAAATTGTATAATTTTAGGGCAACGTTTATAATGATTATTTTTGAGACAAACTGTACAATATCCAACAGTTATTCCTAATGACAGTAAACTAGATTCCATAATGATCAATTTTTGGTGAATTTAGATTTGGTTCATAAGTCAGAGTTTATTTAAAAAATATTTTGGGTACTTTTGCGGATGCGGTTTTCACGACACTATGCTATTTTTTCTTAAAACTAAAGATGCCGTTAACACAATTTTCATAACCTTTTTAGTTTTTAAGATGCAGGTTATTTTCTGGAAAAGTTGCATTTTGGCATCCCCTCGTATCTCCGTTATCCTTCAACTTATCGAAAAGTTAAAAAAGCATTCTTAAATTGTTTTCCGTAGAATACAGTGGTGTAGATAATTGTTGTTACTTATTAACTATTTTTGAGTTATAAAGAAAACTTTTGTTTTTTTTTTAAATGGAACACCCTTGTATATTTATAGATTATAAAATTTGTCTTTTTTTACTTTTTCAAAAATATTTAATAGTATGCACTTTTTCTCAGAACCACGCAAATAAATGACAATTTTTTAAAATTAAATTCATAATTTAATAGTAGGCCATGGATAATAATAATAAACAAGTCAAGGTTACATATTACTAACGAAGAATTGGATACCCTGCATATAGGTATCTTTTTATAAAAAAAC